ACTGATTGAATATATTTAACCTTCAACATTCCATAAATAAAAATGGTAGTTTTTTAAAATTTGTGGTTAGTTCAATTATTCTCTGCATTTGGATAAAATAACTTCAAAAACTCACACACCCAAAAAAACTGCTACTTTAAAAAAAATCCAAAACATTGTTTGTGATAATTAACAGTATAGTTCCATCTTTTTGGTATTTTGATATATCTCTTCTACAAATTTAACTTAACAGCTTTCTTGTTGCCCTTTGACAAATTGCTGGCAAAGTTTGTAAAAATTCTGAGAATGGAGTAAAAAAGAAACATAATGTTTAAACAGTGAATAATATTACAATGTTACTTTCTCTTGTGTAATTTCATTTGAATTATTTACAGCAAAAATATAGAGAGATATCTACAGTAAATAGATGTCTGTCTACATCTGGACTAGTTACCCTGCTGTCAATTTGTTAGCCAAGAAAAACGGGCACTTCAATTAAAGTAGATATTTAATACATAGAGGTAGATAGATAGATAGATAGATAGATAGATAGATAGATAGATAGAGAGAGAGAGATGGTGGGTGGTTATATATAGAGAGAGAGAGATATTTGAGAAAAATTGTGCCCTTTATCACAAACAAAACGTGCATCAAATATGTCCTCTTACTTAACAGTTTTTCTGTATTTCACTTTAGGTATTTTTAAAATATTTGCTAGGAGATATGTTAGAAAATTATATAAAATCTTCACCTCAATATTTGAAAACAGCTATAAGATCATAAAACATCACAAAACATCACATAAGAAGTGAGATAAGCTTGAACACAAATACATATAAGTAGCACCTGCCCAGAGTTTTTGTTGTCATTGTGAAAAAATCCTTTGTAATGATAGTGGAAGACCTCAGCCTTACCCTAACCTGCAGCATAAACTGACCTGGCCTGACATTAGTCTGTATCTCACCTAACCTACTGGCAATGATACACGTCTATACATTTGGTCACAAACAATTGCTTACAACTTACAAAAAATAAATATTATCTCTAGGTAATCTGAGTCTTGACTGGTATTCAGTGAAAAGTGGAAGCCAGATCCTCTGTCCCTTACCTACGTGTCAAGGAAGCCAAACATGGCTCTGAGAAAGTGTGAAATATTAGACCACTTCCTGAACTAAGACAGTGAAGGTATAATCACTAAAATATGGTCCTTGCTGGTGTATTCTTACAAAATCCATTAAGATCTAGAAGAAAAATCTGGAACTAAACCTGCAATAATGAGAACTGCAAAGATTTTCAGCAGTTACATATCTCCTGAGGTAGGGTCTGTCCTGTTTTTAATAATGAAAAACAGTCCTTGTTGCTGTCTAAATTCTGCTAAAGGTAATGTCTGAAAAGAGCAAGGTAAATTAAATACCCCTTTCTCCTGAGTTCTGAATTTTCTGCTCTGTGATAAAGAAGTGCAGCACAGAAACCACAGATCTGTTAGGCTAACCTCAGTAACTGGAAAAAAATTGCAGAGAAGGTCACACTGGGTGCTATTGAAAGGCATTTAAAGGGCAATGCGCTCATCAGGCACAGTCAACACAAATTCATGAAGGGAAATTCCTGTCTAAATGATTTGATATCCTTCTGTGATAAGGTCACTTGGCGAGTGGATGAGCAGAAGGCAGTGAATGAAGTCTTTCTGGATTTTAGTCAAGTCTCTGATGCTCTCCCTTACAGTATCCTTCTGGACAAGCTGTCCAGCTGTCAGATAGGCAGATACACAGCAGGCTTGGTAAAGAATTGGCTGCAGGGCAGGACTCAAAGTGTTTTGATGAATGGGTCTATATCTGGTATAAAACTGGACACCAGCAGTACTCCTCAGGGCCCAGTTCTAAGGACAGCTCTGTTCAATATACCTATCAACAACCTGGATGCAAATTTGTTGGCTATGTCAAACTGGGAGGTGTTCTCTTGAGGGACAAGTATAGCTTTGAGGTTGCTATGGTTTGGATTTGTTATGAACACAGTGTCAATAACGCCAATGTTAATATGTTTTAGTTATTGTTGAACAGCTCTCATGCATCATCAATGGCATGAACTTAAAAAACAAATGCTGGATCCTAAACCTGGGATGGAATAATGCCAGACATGAGTATAAACTGGGAGAGGAGTGGCTGGAAATAATCTCAAAGGGCCTTCTTGACTTTCATATTTAATTTACCCACCACTAGGAAACACATTTCTATGAGATAAAATGTTCCTTTTTTTAATTTTCCCCTTGGAAAAAAAAGCACTTGCACCAATGAACACTAACATAAATAGACAGGAATGAACAGAATTAAGACACTTTAAACACAGAAATTTAACTCAAAGGGAAATACAATATTTTCCTCTTACAAATGTAAGAAGTAATTGTATTCTTTGTTGGATTTTGCACCTAGAATGGAGTAACGCAAGGCACAAGGAGACCAGTCCTGAGAAAAGTGATTTGGGGCTTTTGGCCAGCACGAGGCTCAGTGGGCGCCAGCATTGCCCTGGCAGCCCAGAGGGCAAACCTCAACCTGGGGCACATCAAACACTACATGACCAACCAGTCAAAAGAGGCAATTATCCTGCTGTGTTCACTGTTGGTGTGGTCTCACCTGGAGCACTGTATGCAGTTCTGAGCTCCACGAGTCAGCAAGGATCTGAAGGTCCTTGAATGAGTCCGGAGGCGAGAAACAAAGCTTCAAGATTTTTCTGCTTCTCTGTATCTGCCCTAATGACATTCAGCTCAATTTTTCCATGCAGCAATATAATTATACCACCTTTCATATGAATCCATGTCAAATATGGGTCCTGGTCTCCCAAGACTTTTGTTCAATGATTAAAAATATGCATTCTGTGGATTCCTAAAATTGTACAAAGTTATCTCTATTTAAAAGAGGTCAAAACATTGTTTTCATCAAGTGCCCTCCTTTTTTAAAATTTTCTCATTCTTCTTGCTCTTCAGCCTCTCTGTCCTGACATGTCTTTCATTTTTTCAAATTAAAATAAATGACAGAGATGATAAGGAAATGGAGAGAAATAACAAATTCTTTCTTCAGCTTTCTTCAGAACATTTTTTAGAGCAAGCCTTTAACACATACAGTAAGATTCTTGGCTTTTGAAAATAGATCATTTGCTAATCAGCTTCACTATTAATTCCTACTCTATGATCCATCTATATACTTCTTCAATTTAAAATTTACTAAAATGCAAAATTCTGCTCATGGCTACTGCTCTATCTTCCTTTCTTTCACGTTTCCAAAAACAGTATCACAAACTGACCTTCAAAATAATCCTGTTCACAACAATTTGTTCATGTGCACTTGCAAAATTCTCTGAATCTATAGTTGCCATGGGAGATAGCAGAGAGGCATCATATTATTATTTGCCTGTTCTTACAGTGTTTTAATTAAGAAAAACTATATGAAATCTTCCATACTTATTTTCTTGTCTTTTTTTTTCCCTAGAAACTGAATCTAAGTACCATATTATCCTCCATATCTATTTGCAATGCAGTGCACAAGGTCTCTTCTAAATTCATAGCCAAACAGTTTTATCTGCTATGAAGCAGGAAAACATTATTTACTCATTCATCATTTATTCTTTTCTGAAATTTTGTTTCAAATTTATTTTCTCCATTCTCAAAGGTGGAGGAAAATCTTAATTTATTAAGCATGCTCAAATCTTGACAACATGATAATAGTCACATTAAGCTGGAAAGTATCTCACATTTGTCTGGAAAAAAAAAGAAATCTGAATGGAAATGTTTATTAAGATGAAACAAATTAAGTAATACACACTACACACAAGTGTCTGTCAAGCAGGGATGCATTGCTAAAATTTCCCACTTAGAATCATATTTAATGTATTTTACTTTCTTTTCTTTTTATACTGCAAGAGATATAATTTAAATTTGAATTATGGTAACCTAAAAAGCCATTTTACTAGAAATGAGCAATTAATCAACATCAAGTATGAGAAAAGCAAATGTAGAGAGGGTTGATCTTTTAAACATTTTTTTCCTTTTTCCTCAGCTTGGTATTAATCAGAGTGATTTAATACTAGTGGTTTTTACAGTTTTCATCTAATCTTACATTTCTTTCCTATCCCTTGGGGATATTACTAAATTTTAATCAAAATGCACTAGATGTTCTTATGTCAGTGTTGAGCATCCTTTTTGCTTTGTTAATTAGCTATAACACTGCAAAGACCTATACTTTTTTTAGGAATTTGATTTCTTTTATATTTTTAATTTTAACAAGGACCAAAACTCATTAAAAACATGCATGATTAATGTATTTTCTTCAGGTATTTTATTTCTGTCAGTTCTGTCCTTCTGTAAATTCTCTTTGTGGATTCAATTAGGGAGGTTTAGAAAGAACATTCTTCCAGACCATTATGTACAGTTTTGATTCTGTAAAGTCTACCTTGTAAATGGACTTATTTTGATTACAGTAACTATTACCAAATATTTGCAATTGTGTTGCTGACGTGATCAATTTACAGCAAAAATAAAGCTGACTTGAGCACATCTATGAGTATGAGCAGTGCATTTTAAGAGAACAGAGGTTCAGACAAAGCAGTGAAGGTTATAGGAAATGGGGTTATAGAAAATTTATCAGAAAGACATCAAATACATGAAACGTATCCTTTCACTTTATTAGGTCACAGAAAAAATAAAGAATATTAATCATTGATATCATCTGTTAATTTCTAAAGTTTGAAGTGATAATAGTTCATTTTAGTTTCACTCTAAACATTATGAATATTAGTGCAGAATGTGTTCTCACAGATTAAGTTTGAATTAATGGAATCTCCAAATTTAGCTATTCATATTTGTCTGATAATGACCTAATTAAATTAAGAAATTCCTTGAATCAGTAGTGTCAGAACATTACATCTGCTTGAAAGCTGCTTGATAGTGACTCCTGTGAACTAAATCAATCATGTTGTTATACCTGCTATAATGTAAAAGTAATGGAATTTGTCCTTGTTCTTTCTTCTGCCAGGGGAATCCTGAGGATATGTTTATAGCTTGTAACAGAGCACAAGGTGAGCAGCCCAGAATACGGTCCTAAGAAAAAGGTGGTTCATGGAATATGTTTCAAAGCTGTGGATGAACACTAAGGTAAATCCCAGAAAACATAAATTGATGTGCTGGGCACTATTTACTGAGCCTTGCCTTTGAAAATCCATTCACCTAAAGTGTGCTGTACTTCCTCATGTATCTCAGCTTTTTAGACTTATTTTTACTATACCCATGTCAGGAAATCTTCCCTCTGCAGTGAAGACACACAAGCCAAAACTTAGAGGTTTAAGTTCTTTGTTGAGCAAAAATGTATTCCTTGAGAGATGAATGATGGAGAAATTTAAACCATCTCTTAAACCATCCCTATTTTGTAGTACAAATAAGTTAGTACATAAAAGATTAAGAGGTCTATGCTTTCACAAGTTATCCATTAGGAATATGTGCTGGTGTAGAAATTAATGAAAAATTAAATTAACTGCTTAAAAATAGAATTTCATACTTAGAATAAAAAGTGTTTTCAAATGAAAAATTACCATATGCTCGAAAGGAATTCATGCTAGAACTACTGCCCCACAAAATGTATGGTGGCACACATACTTCATTCTGCCATACAATTTGTTTACCCAAAATATTTTTTAGCTTGAGGGGTTTCAGAATTTTAATGAAAAATTTCTTGATGTACTTTTCACTATTTAAAAGGAAGATGATGTTGAAAACATCACAAGCATTGTAAATTATTGTTTATATGTCAGGATGCAGGTGCCACTGTCAAACATTTTTACAAACTTCAATGTTTCTTATTTGAAATAAAAAAGATTTGGATAAACAGAATATATTGCAGAACACTGCATTGAACATGCACTTTATTAGATACTACAGAAATACCTCACTGGATAGGTAGTTGTACAGAACATATGCTAAAACTGGGGCTTAAGATAAAGGAGTACTTGGAACTCAGTTATTTTAGAAGCTTGATAGCATGATAGAATGCTTGTGTTCCTATTTTAAAAAATCTTGTACCTAAAAGAAGGAACCAATTATATAACTTTAATCCCTGTATACCATTTATCCTGTGGAAATTAGTGGCAGAAGAGGAAGGACTGTTTCTGCAGAGTGGTATCAGTGTCCATTTCTGCAACTGAAACTTCTGTGTACTCTCAAATGCAGAGTTATATCATTGAAGAAAATAAGCCTGGTGAAACAGATATTTCAGCAAGTGAGCAATGAACAAAGTTAAAAATATTATGATGGACAAATGACTTGCCAGTATCCTCTATCACTGGTTCAAAAGCCCTCAGACCTCAACAAAACCTCTGTCTGACTACTCTACTGTTTGGCAATATAGCAATGACAGCCAGAAGGTTTTTTACGAAAGAGATGGTACAGCTATCATGGGAAAGTTTTCCCTTTTAGGACTATGCCTAAAGATAATCACGTTAGCTTATTTTCAGCTTTTTAGACTGATAGATGGAGGAATTAAAGACACACAAAATTACGGCAATCACAAAAAGGATAAGGTCATGTTTTAAGATTGTTTCTAATATGTGTGGAAAAATCTCACTGAAAATGGAAGCATTTACTGGGTAATGGTGGCAATGCAATTGTTAAGTAATAGATTGGTCTCATCCTCATTTAGGCCTTCTAAATAAAACAATAATTTAAGTAGTCGTTAGGACAAGCTAAAAAGAGGGGTGCAAATTTTATTATCTGTGCTATACATAAAATGTGCTTTGAATTAATAATTATCCAATATTTTTAATATATACTCAGAAATATATATCTATTAAATTCTTATATTTAAATTAATGAGTTTTGCCATTAGTTCACCCACAATAACACTTTATACAGGGTATTTTTTTTTCATTTTTGTCATTCAGCATAAAAGAATTAGTTCTTTCATTAACAATTCATTATTTAAAGGGTAAACAATATTGTTATTCCAAAACTACATATAGCAGCAATCAGAAATAAATGGGAAAGTAAAAAGTTAATATCACTGTTAAGAATTGTATTTAACATTCACAGATCCCTTTTCTTCTTTCAAGTATTAACCTAGGTGTTTATAAAAGAAGACACAGCCTTAAACTCTGGTTATTTAACAGAATAAAGACCAGATGTTGTAATTCCAGGTTTGGGTGCAAATGACATTTCTCTTTAAGAAGCAATGCATTTTGTCATAGCAATTTGTGTTAAGATAAGAAGTCATGAGGTAGGCTGCCAGGTTCTCTCTGGTTCATTTGTTATGACTTTTGCACCTGACACAATGTCATGAGTTCAACTCTCAAAGTGACACTCTCTAGTGCTCTACTGATAGAAGAGCTATCTGTACTTTGGGTGACATTTTAAAACAAGCTCTCTGGCAGTTATCCAAATGTATGCTAAAATCATAAGAGACATTTTCAGATAAGAGCTGGAGATAATAGCACTCTTGTGGGCAGCATCTCTTCTCTATAAAACTCACTGCTACCTGAGATTGCCTGTGAGCTATTGCTGAGCACATCTGTAATGGCTGCTGCACTTTCTTCAATGTCATTTCATAAAAAATAATTCAGTAGCCTTCAGAGGTGTTCAGTATCTTGGATTGGAGGACCATTTTAAAATCAAATTCTATTCAGAGAGCAACAGGGGTTTTGTCACTTATTATAAATTTCTTGATTCTAGCAGTCGTTTCACTATATATGTACTCAGGAAACATAGTCAGATCCTCTGAAGAATATCCTGTTCAGGGATGAGTTAGTAGGCAGTAGAAAAGGACAATATCTGGTCATATGTAGGTGGGATTAAGATGTTACCAAGAGGGTAAGTGTTCCCCTAGGAGTCTGTCAAGCTCCAGGTTTTTCCTATAGTTCTGGTTAGTCCTGTCAAGAAGGGTAGTTTGCTCACCCAAAGTAACAAGGATAAATAAGACCAATAGTGTTGACTGTTTGATATTGATCTTTCTGTGAATTTTTTTTTGCAGGATTTGGTCATTGCAGGTTTTTTCATTGGTTTTCAGTTTATGTTGCTATGACATATTTGAATATTACTGTTATTATTGATTATATTTTTGTGGTGGGAATTATATAGCATATGCTTATCTAAAAAAAACTTTTTTGCAGATAAAGTAAGAATAACTCAGAATGTTTCCATAACTTTTTTTTTCATATTTTGGAGATTAATAAGGGTAGAGAAACTTCATGAAATCTTCATAAGTATAATTAACCTAGGCATAATTAACTTACCTTAATGTGTACAATAATTGTACACAAGATGCACATGGATGCTGATAAACTCTTCATTAGGATTTCTACTGCTCTGTGCAAAAAAAAAAAAAAAAAAAAAGAGACCAGAAAAATAAAATCTCTGTGTTCTGGCCCTCAAATATCTTATATGTGAACATGTCCTTGTCCCTCTTGTGATAAGAAAATAAATTTTTTTGACTGATGGGAATTACTGACCTATCCATCTTCAAATATATGTTTTGCCCTCTGTTAACACTTTCTGATTTTATAGATAATTCCCTGATAAATTATTTTTGAGTAGCTGTGTTTTGATATCTGATAAAATGGTATTTTTGATCTTGCACCAAGGCATTTGTGTATTTTACTTTTCAGTGTCTGGGTTAATAGTGTGTTGAGTAATGTCCAGTAAAGAAATAGAATTTGAGTCAAAAAATATTATTAAAATTAGTAAATTTTGCGTCTATTTCAACTGAACCTGTTTTAGAGGTTCTGGTGCCACAGAGTTAATAGGTACTCCTATGCATTGCCTAATGCACACACAATAAGTAATCTGAAGTCTGAGGAAAGGGTAATTTATCTTTATCAAACTACAGTTACAGCTGTGTTTGAGAGAGTCTATGAGATTGGAGGGCTCTAAATGGATTTGCTGTTTTATTGACTGAATTTTTCAAGAATAGTTTTTTCAAAAAAAGAAAGTTCCAAGAAAAGAAGGTATGGGAGGGTGGTATAAAAGAAACACTACACAAAACAAACTCCTTAACTTGAATTAACATCAAGAACAGATTTCTATATGTTTGTAATTTACTGCTAAAAGTCAGATTTTCAAATACATTTACCCTTTTAGATTCAGGTTAGCAACAATTTTTTAATGAATTGCTAATTTTTAAACATTAGACACCATCTAAAAGAGAAATTATCAGGAGTGTCATGCCACATGATCCTCCAATCAGAGTCCAAAGATTTGATAGCTATGAGAAATAATTGATTTTTTTTCCTTCATATGTTTTCAATTTGTGATACTGAAACTAAGATGCCTTAGTGAAGATATGTGTTCATACTGTGCAATACCTGACATAGGGAGAAGCTGTCCTTTCACTCAGCATCTCATGATTGCTGGGGTTCATCGGCACAGATAAAATGTGCAGTCCAGTTTTTAACCCTCACATCCCTTCCTGCCACTAACATAAATGGTTTTATTGGTGTTGGGCTAGGAATGAGAGCTATGAATGAGGTGGTCTTGAAAAGAGTTTTGAATGGAAATGAGTGGGGGGGGGGGGATAACCACGTGTCAAGAACAGATTGAGCATGATTAAGCATGACATAGTGACAGCTGCTTGATAGGTAGCTTTCTGTGACATACAGGATCTCAGCCTGGCTTATTAAGATATAGATATGAAAAGGAGTAAAATAATGCTACAAAGGCAGGTGTTAATGAGGTGTTATTGAAAAAAAAAATACAGCAACAAAAAAGGCATTAGGAAAATTATGAACTTTCCTGGTGGAATAGCTATGTAGTATTTCTAAGATGAAGACAATAAGCTTGATTTATTTTACTGAAAAAGGTGAAGAATTAATAAGTAACAGATTTTGATTAATATATTTTGTAAAAAAGGAAAATATCTGCTTAGCAAAGGCTCATTACAGAGGATAGTCACCCAGCAAACAGTACTGTGACCTTTATTATTATCTGAACCTTTTTGAAACATTTCTTCTGTATTTCATTTATATATCTTTCCTTCTTTATTTCTTTAAATTTCAGAATAAGTTAAACAAATTAGGAACCCTTTATGTTTCTTAAGTGCATTTCACTAGTACATGCAAGAGGTCTATGATTTACGTGACAAGTCATTTTGTTACACATTAGGACTTGTCTACTGC